TTTGGTTTGACATTTGGAGGTTGAGTCGCTCCATCCTCTTTTGGGAGTGTCATGGGTATCAAACCATGTTTCGTCAAGATATATTATCGGACGATTTTCTGCCCTATATTGTTTTATGGAACTTAAATATTCTCGACGCCATGCTTGTAATCGCTGGGATTCCATTAGCACTTGCCTCTTATTAATGGTTTGATATTTGAAACCCATTGCTTTCACAATTCTCCAAAGGCTTGTTCTGCTACATAATATATCAGTTTCGTCTTCTATAAGTACCTTTTTTAGAGAATCTATTGTAGGTATTATTTGTTTACTGTACAAATCATAAATTTTCCTACGAATCAACTCTTTATCCGCTTCTTCAACCTTTCTTGACTTGCCGCTGTCACACCGTTGCTTCCTTGGCTGGATGCGTTTGGCTACGATATCTTTAACCGTAGATAATGGAGTTTTGGTTAAAACGGATGATTCACTCACACTTTGATTATGATTATAGCCTCTCTGCAGAAGGGTTAAATAAACGTTCCTCACAATTTCCTTGGCATCTAGCGATAAATGTTTTTTTTTTGAAATACCACTTCCGGTTGCAATACTACCATCATTTGCCCATGGACGCCACATTTTTTTTGTCAATATAACAGCTCTAGTTCTGCACAAAGACTAAATAATTTAACTAAAACATTCACCCACATTTACATGTACATCTCACCTAGGCAGGTATAATAAATAAAATCAACCCGGACCTGCTCACAGGTAGTCGAAGTTTGTGGTTGAGGGTATCATCAACATTTTATTGATACTTGAAGAGTCAACGAATTATTTTGGAATGGACTTTACGCATTTTCCTATTGTGTTGTATTGTGTAAATCGGCCTTTTTTATCACCTTAACAATGACAAAAAGAGTCAAGTCAGTGTCATATTTGAACCAATCATAACATAAAAACAGGTTTGACGTTGACAAAAACTGTCGGACCTGAGTTTTTCAGAACAGACTTTTTGTTGTTAAGCCTGACTCACACTAGGCAATTTTCAAAATATATATTGCCTGTACCAGTTTTATGTTTGGCCAAGTGTTCCAGGATTGACAGGTATCCCCACGTTCAGGTGACAGGTAGATGTAAATGCATATTTTAGGTGGGTTCGGCTTGCACTCCGAGTGACTCCATTCGCACTCCAGCCGTTCGGGTTAAGGTTCGGGTATTGCTTTTTACCGTATTAGGGGTGACTCCATTAGCCCTGTTCACTCCACTCCAACTCCGCGCTGAATAGCCGAACCCAGCTAAAATGTGTGCATTTCTTGGACATTAATTCAGCATCATATCAAATTTTCAGGAAAATTGACCGAATCCCCAAATCTCATAAGAGGTGTGCGGGGTCCTTTTGATTACCACCTCTCCTGTATTGTATTGTTTGTTCTGTAAGTAAATAGAAAATTCACATTTTTTTACCCTGCAAGGTAAAGTTTTGGGTGACGTTTGAACTTATTTCAGGGACCTAGGGGCCCCTTCTGTGAAAATAGCCCCGGGCCCCAAAAGACCTTAATCCGACTCTGCTAATTCGGTATTAAAAATTCTATACAATCACCACCAAAATTTGAATAAAATCGTATTATTAATAACTAAGATATCGGGGTGTATTCATGAAAAGCGGGACACACTGTATATAGACCATACAGATTTTGTTTGGAGTTCTTTTAGGACTTCGTCCAAAACTCTCTGCAAAGTGGAAGGTGCGTTTTTAAATCCGAATGGCATTCGTAGGTATTTATAATGTCCATTATCAACTGTAAAAGCAGTTTTTTCAATAGAATCTTTTTCTATTTCGATTCGATGAAAGCCACTAGGTAGATCGAGTGTCGAAAAATATTGAGCTCTACCTAACCTGTCTAGGATGTCGTTTATGTTGGGAATTGGATATTTATCATTAATTGTTTTAGCATTTAGATTTCTATGATCGCAAACAATTTTACTTTACCCAAAGCGTCCATTTTCTTTGGCACAATCCAAATTGGACTTGACCACGAACTACAGGATGGACGTATATTGCCTTTATCTAACATTTCGTTTATTTGTCTTTGCACTTCATCTTTGTGTACGTACGGAAAACGATAAGTTTTCTTATGAACCGGGATGTCGTTGGTTGTTTTCATATTATGTTTTCTTTTAGAGGTAAATGTGAGTTTATCGCCTGGTTTTAAGAATATATCCGAAAAATCATTACATAATTTAAGTAATAAGGATTTTTCTTCGCAATTGAGGTGTTCAGTTCTCAATAAGGGGTTGATGTTTTCATTATTGTGTGGAAAATCAGATTTTTGGATCGAAGTATGGAAATGATCCATTGTATAAATTTCATAAAGGTTTGAATCGAACGAATCCACTGGTAAAGGTTGATCCATGGTAACGCTAATAGTTCTATCAGTTTGATTTTCGATTTCTATTGGTGCAAATCCATCTTTGGCAATTGTTAAAATTTGGGGAATGTATAAGTTATTAACTTTACAAAGTTTTGTTAAAATTTCAGCTTCATAAATAATAAACTAACGGGTAGATTTTTCAAAACTTTTTTTTGTGAGCTCACAGAGAAGGAAAAGTTGACCTCATCAGGTTTTCTATAGTTGAATTTCTAGATTAGGCCCAATTGATCTTTTATTCGTTAGATCAATATTTACATTCAATTTCATTAGGTCATTAGTGTCTATTATACCATCAAAGAAGTCGTGTCAGTTCTTAAACGAAGCAATTAATATCTTCTATCGGAAAAACTTTTTATTATTAGAGCATTTTTCAATTTATCCCAAGTATCTAATTCCATTCGTCGGCCAACCATAATTCCGGCTTTGTCAATTAGTTTTTCTTGGATATATTGAAAAACGTGTTGTTTTAATTCAGCATCATTGAAAGTGTTATATTTTTGGATAAAATTTTCACACCTAATCAAAAATTTATTGAGTTGATTTACATCGACGTCATACGGCTTTATGTTGTCTCATCTGGATTTGAACATATCGTATTTGAATTCAGACATAGTTACTTCTGTATCTGACTCTGAATCAGAAAGTGTTGGCAGGCTATTCAGAAGATCTCTTATAAGAATATCTGTGTCTACTATTAATAATTAATCCTATAATAAAAGTGTTTATTGTATGTATTGTATGTATTGTATTTTAGATTAAGCTGAATAATCTAAATAAATTGAGAAATCGATAATTGAAAAATTAAAATAACCTACTTGTCTCCAATAGACTGAAATTGAAATTGTTTTGTGTACGATACAGTGACCTAACTATACCTATAAGAAATCCTCAAACAAAGGGTTCAGAAGGGGCATAAAGGAATACAACGCACTTACAGAGTTCTGTCTTTCTTTGTCCTTTCTCGATTCCAACTGTTCGCCTGGATGGTTCTTGGATGTTCGCGGTTAATCGAAGGTTCTGGATTAGGGCTTCGCGAGACCACAAGACTAGTCTTGGTCTTGGTAGCAAGACCAAAACCAAGACCGAGACCAAGACCTGATAAATCTTCTCAAGACCAAGACCAAGACTCTCTCTCAAGACTCTCGTCTTGGTCTTGGTCTTGAAAAGAAAAATCAACTCAACATTTATACAAATATGCAAATTCCTATATCTTCTCTTAATGTCTTTTAATTAAATAAATTCATCAAATTTATTATTTTTTGAAATTCACGAGAAGGTATTATAGGTTTCAAACATATGCACATACAACATAGTGCAGGTAACATTCATTTACACTGAACACATCGATATTTTCCTATCCCTACATAATACAATACGTAAGTATTGGAATTTCCAAAGATAATTCTTAACTAACTAACTAACCCAAACTAACACAAACCCCACATCTCACCCAAACTAACCCAAATCTAATTATTGTGAATAGGCCAATAAAATTCAAACGAGGTATGTGACTATGTGAGGGTTCTCGACAACCTTTCTCTGGCCTGAATGCTCAGGTAGGTAAGGTAGGTTTAATCTATGGTTCCTCGGTACAGAATGGCAATTTTATGATGTGTTTGTCAACTTTCCTGTTCCGTTAATAAAAATTCTAATTTAAGAATTGATGTTTGTTTGTTCCTCTGTGTTGTGGAATGCTTTATGCGATATTTTTTGACATGAAACTCTCTTACTGGTAAAAATAGCCTGTGAAGAAGACCAAACGCATGGTCGAAACGTCGGCATAATTTTTTCAGAAAGGGAGGTTTATTTTTTATTTCTGAAGTCCTAAACCCATTATCTCTGCTTTGTCGTTGGATGTTATGTATATTTTAAAAATTTGGTATAAATTTTTTTCAAGACTATCAATACCAAGACCAAGACTATCAAGACCAAGACCAAGACTGAGCCAGTCTTGTCTTGGTCTTGAAACATCAAGACCAAGACCAATACCAAGACCGCATTTATTTTTCGAGACCAGGACCAAGACTGGCCAGTTTGGTCTTGGTCTTGCGAAGCCATATTCTGGATAGCACTTAAGGGGTTGAAAACACGTCAGTTAGTTTTAATTGTGATCATAGCAAGTAAATTTGAACTAGCGGATCCTAAAAGTGTAAAAGTTACCACTTAAAGTTGTTTACGACGGGTTTGAAGCTCTGGGTGTCATTGAAACACTAAATTTGCATTATTTTCTAAACAAAAAAGATGTAAGAAAAAATCGAAAAACTGTTCGAACATAATAATCATTGGGGTATGCCTAGAAAAAATAAATAAAAATAATTGTAGAAATGTGGTGGCAACAAATATTTTGAATTTTTACCGCATTTCCTATGTCAACCTGTATTAAAAAAAACACTCAAATTCTATATTTTTTTGTGTGAAGCAGATGATTAACAAGGAGTCGCTTTCAAAAAGGGTGAAAACGGCATATTTTCCCGTTAATTTATGAAAAAAATGTTGCTTCTCAAAAATTGGTGAAATTTATGCTTGGAACGAACCTATTGTTGAGTAGTTCAGTTAATTATATTTAATTGAAAGACTGATTCTTACCTCTGGGCATCCATAGCTGAGTAACAAGTCCACCAAGCTTCTGCTATTTGCCGCAGATAAGTCAAGGTTGTGACTTTTCACTGCCGAGCACTTGGCAGCCGCTATGTTAGCTGCCGCTTTGGCATAAGCCAGACAAGTACGGCCATCTTGGTCCACAGCTTTCACGTCTGCGTGATGCTAAATGAAATAATAATTAGATTTACTCAATCCACAGGTTTTAAGTTTATGTTGCATATAATAAGGCAAAATTGTTTATACAATAATCTGGAATCATGTGTTCTTGGCCAACTTTGAACAATGTTTCCTCATCCACTATTTACTTATCGCCCCATTTCTGGCCAACTTTGAACAATGTTTCCTCATGCACTATTTACTTATCGCCCCATTTCAGAGTGAATTACAAATCTAGTTTGAACAGATTTGTATACTTCAATAATATGCCCTGATGTCCGAAAGCTTGGTTTTGTAAAAGAGTGAAAAATAATAAAATAACTTGACTGTTTCCCAATTATTCAAACACTATAAAATAATACCGGCTCTTATCCATGAAAATGTAAAAGGTTCATGTTAACTAAAGTCGAATTTGGAATCCCTTTACAAGTTGCACACTCTGATATTGGAATCCAATAAAATTTACTTTCTACAAAACCTTTCTTACCCAAATAAGTAGTTGCGCCACTGGCAAATTGCCCATCGCGCAAGCCAAATGAAGTGGCGTCCTTAAATCTCTAGGTCCCACAGTGGTATTAACTTGTTGCGTATTCGCCAAACCCAACACGTGAATAATGGACTTGATATTGGAGCTACAGACAGCGTCGATTAGTTGCTGTCCGAGAGGCATAGTATTATTGGGCGGCGGCAGGAATTCCTTGTGTTCGTATTTGGATCGTATCCATCTTTCCTGAGAATTTTAAACGAAACAATTAGTCCAAAAAATGCTTGAAACAAATGAGTTTGTTACCTTTTCTTCTCGACTGGAGGTTGGTATAGGTTTTATCCTATTATAAGTTTGACACTCCCATACGGAATTCGCTAGTGTGTTACCAATTGCCAACATTACACTTTGATTCCCAGGACTGAAAAAAATCACAATTTAAAAACATTTTATATCAGTTAAAAAATTAAGTGCTTACGGCCATTCGTCCAAATCCAAAGATCTAACTCTTGAAATGTGTGAACCCAAGTTCCTATGTATTCCCGAACATTCTATACACATTAAAACACCTAAATTTAAACTGGCCCAGTCCGGATCTAGAACAAACACAATGTTCATTGAAAAAAAAATAGCAAATTTACTCAAAAAACTTACTTGGTGCGTCACAATCCACACAAGATCCGTTACCAGGTACCCTGTTCTTGATGGACTGTATGGAGGCCGCTTCGCTGGGATTGCTCTTTGCTTTCGAAGATTCGTTAAGCTGTAGCGAATTGAGGATTTGTTGTTCGATAGCTGCCACCCATTCGTCTCTTTCTTCTACTGAAGAAGCGTCAAAATTCCATTGTTTACCTTCGAGCGAGACTATGTAGAATTCATAACCGTCAGCGTCTGAAAGGAATTTTGAACTATAATGCTAACAACCCCAAAAGCATGTCTTCACAAATTATCACTTACCATCATATTCAGAATTTTTAACACCACTACTTTTAACTCTCCGATGTCTCTTTTTGACATTAGGTGTCTCCGTTTTGCCTATTTCCCCATTAAGAAAAGAGTTGCTACTAGACAAAGTCATTCCTTCATCGCCGCTCTGTTGAGAGTATTTGAAACTTGGATCTTTTACGGTTTCAAATGCTGTCATCAGTACTTTCTCGGTTGGGCGTTTATCTTTAGCCATTAGCGACAAACCGCCCAAATTTTCATGCAGAGCAGATCCATTTCCTCCATAACCGTGGCCAGCAACTGTTACGATAGACTTGGATCCCCTAGGTTTTTGGCCAGGCACTTTCACAGTTACGTATTGCAAGGAAATCTCCTTTCCATGGACGTCGTCCATGTAATCGTGCAGGCTTGGATGATAAGTCAATCTTCCATCATCACAGAGAGTTACGTATTTCTTTTTCCATTCTTTGTTGAGGGGTTTACTAGATTTTTTATAGAGGTAGCCTTGTTTCAAAGGTATAGCTCGACCACTACCAAAATCTCCGCCGTTCTTGAGCTTCTCATTTTTGGATGGAGTAAACAAATTTGACCGTCGTCTATTTTTTCTTGAGGTAGTGGGCGTTGAGTTGGGAGTGGGTAAATCCTTGAGATCTTTTGAGTTATTTTGTTGCTGTTGAGCAGTCTAAAGAAAAGAAATCAAATATCAAGTGAAATAAAAAAAAGTGAAATTCTTACTTGAAGATTATCCAAGGAATGTGGCGCAGCAAACTTGGCCACGTTATTATTTTCTGTGGTGACTGCAATGACGCCTTGAGAGGAATTGATACTAGCTAACGTTGAAGATGAAGAGTTCCATTTTCTTTCTTCCTCTGTTGACTTGTAACTACTGCTATCCTTGTCCGATTGGGAACTTTGATGTGTCGGTTTTTGTACTATGTGTTGGCGCAATTCTTGCATCACTTGACTATCCTGTACCTGTATCGCGATTTGTATCAAGATTGAAAAAAAAAAAAAACTAGATTAGACATTGAAAATGGATTAAAATTAATGTCAATGTAACATTTGGATTTGTCAACGCTGTGTTTTTAGATCAGCAAATAAAAAAGTGCTAACTATTTATACAGGGTGGTCGTTACGTGTGGAAATTGTCTTATATTTCAGAACGCGTTTATGAAAAATGTACCATGGGCGAGTTCGGTTAATCCTCCGCGCAATAAGATGACATTGTTCACAGAAACCCCTCGTTTTTATTCTAATCGGTGACTTCACCGATGAGTTAGCTATCTTTGTTTAGTGAATGGAAAATGACAATGACCGACATAGAATGGTGGATCCATTGGTAAAATTTGATGAGAATAAAAACGCAGGAAAAATCACGTGATATTTCACTTGAAGTCACAAAACTGGTAACCGTGTGGTTGTCATCTTTTTGCTCAAGGAGGATTAACCGAACGCTATACTTAATATATATTCCGTATTGTATATAATATTTTTAACCAACTTCTTGGTTAGTTGGTTGTGTCCCAAATATATCAGTTCCTGAAAAATTGTCAACTTACGGGACATGATTTTCCGGAATACTGATCATTTTATCTGTCACCAAAATAACCAACGTTGCAACCGCTTGTTACCGACTGGTAGTCGATTCTCGAATTTGGTATAAGTGAACGTTCGCCTAAGAGAAGTGAGAGATCACATCGTACGGTCGTTCTCTTGGTGCCAAAGTTGGTATTCTCGAACGTATGGGATTATGATAGAATGAGAGAAAACTTGTCAAATCATAATGCGTTGTTGCCAACAGTAATATTTATTTATTTATTTATTTATTTACCAAAAACCTACCCAACAGGCACAAATGCCCAATTAATAGAGAGGAACTAACAAGAGTTACAAAAAATTATCAGGTAAATCAGTAAGTCAGTAACATACATGACAGAGTGAAACTTAAACCTACTACTTAACCTACTAATTTCAACAAAATCAAATTAAATGGTTATTAAAGTAAGCAGAAAAGAAGAAGTAAAGGCAGAAAAACAACTGCCAGCAAGAGCAGCTTCAAAACGAAATGAGAGAATCAGGTTTAAAATATCAGTGGAAATAGCCAAGTATTTGATGCGGAAGTATCTTCTTAACTGTAGAAATCGAATGAGAAAAAAAATCCAAGTTAGGATGGGCGTTATATTTAGAACACATTGAAAAAATAGGAGAGAATTTTTATGCATTTTTCCTTGTTAGAGGCAAATAAAATGTGGTATTATGGCGTGAGTTCATACGAGGTACAAAAAAACATAATCTGCCAAGCATGCCACTGCAGTCCACCAGATTATTTAGTATTTTAAACAAAGTGATTAAATAATGGTAATCATGGCGATCCCTAAGAGAAACGTAACCAAATCTCCCTAATAAGATTGTATGTGAAAAGCCTTGACAAGGATATATTCCCTCACTTTTAAACCATGCATGTTTTAAAAACCTGCGCTGAATTTTTTCTAAATTATTGATATGAACATCATAACCGGGGGACCAAATTACTAACGCATATTCCAGTTTTGACCGAACATAAGAGTTATATAATATTTTAAGTACGTCGAGGTTGGTGAAATCCCTAGTGCAACGTACGATGAATCCGTAGCTTTTCGAGGCATCAGACAGTACTTTCTTGACATGGGGAACAAAAGAAAATCTTGAGTCAAACGTTACGCCTAAATCACAAAAAGTATTGGCACGGAGAACGGATGTATCATTAAGGACATAATCATAAACAATAGCTAAGTTCTTGGTTGTAAAGGAAACCACATTACATTTTCCCATATTGAGCTGCAAGTTATTCTTGATGCACCAATCATTGATCCTCTCTAGATTACGTTGAATAGTGAGACAATCATCCAGACACTGGACATTTTTAAATATCTTTATATCCTACTGAACTATTAAAACCATATAATACCTTGGTTACGATAATCATAAACAGGGTCTTAACTCCCAAGGGAGTTAAGGATTTTCATAACTCCCAAGGGAGTTAAGGAAGGGAGTTAAGGATATCATAACTCCCAAGGGAGTTAAAGATTTCCATAACTCCCGCTTTTACCTTGAATAGGTAACACTTTGACATAAAATAGAAATTTTGATTTATGGCTTATTCCTTTATAAAAATAGACAGAATACAGTAAATTCAGTAGGATATAAAATTATCTATGTACCACGGGAATTATCAGGCAATTGGTGTCCCTCGGGCCGGAGGCCCTCGGGACACAAACGTTGCCCTGGGGTATTAACACCTGCATAATTCCCTTGATACATAAATAACTATTATGTCATCTGCATACAACAAAAAATCTACATCAAGATCCCTATTAATGTCATTTAAATAAATATATTGAATAATAAGGGCCCGAGTATCGAGCCTTGCGAAACGCCAGAGGTGACAGAGTATTTATTAGATGTGCACCCACTAAGAGAGACATATTGAAAGCGGTTGGACAAATATGAGACAAAGAGGTCTACGAGTGAGTTACAAAATCCACAAGAACGAAGTTTATAAATTAAAACATTATGATCCAGGCGATCAAAAGCCTTCGAGAAATCTAGATATATAACATCAACCTGAGAACTATCATCAATAGATTCAGCAATATATTGAGACACCTCAAGTAGGTTAGTGACAGTGGATCTTCCTTTAAAAAATCCATGTTGTTGGGGAATTATTCAGTTCTTGACAGCAGGAAATATGTAGAATTTGCCACAATTTTAGTGTGTTAAAAGGACGAATGTCATGAGAAAAAAGAAAGTTTGTTTTATTTGTGTTTTGGGACGTAACACGTAACCTCATTCTTTGCTTATTTATTTAATGAAAATCAAATCATCTCATAATCATTCTATTTACTATTTACAATTTTTATTTTCGTGTTGTTTTGTTTATGGAAAATGAATTTGGAAAAATCAAAATGTTCACCTATAAATCATACTCAAAAAGAAATGCTCATTGAATTTGTAAGGCAAAATGAGAAACTTCAAAATGGAAAATTTACCTCCGATTTTACCACAGTTTTTAATGAGGAAGTTCTAGTTGGAGCCCGTATTAAAATTGTCAATAAATCAATTAAATTTCGAGCAAGATCTTTGCTTAATCTAAATAGTTTTATAAATTTATTATCCGTTAAATCAAAAGGATTTTCTCTTCTGTAAAATCTCCTTATAGACCGTCAGCCAATGACATATTTTGCTGACCGATTTACTCTCTTCGGGGATTTCAACCACTGAAAAATATGTCAGTGCTGAGCTCAAAAAATGAAAATTTAGCGGCCGGATGTCTGCTAGGCATATGGGAAATTAATTTTCCTCTTGCAGTAAAAAAAAAGGTTATTTTTTCAATTTCTCTTTTATGGCATTTTAACACATTAACATTGTAGAACAATGAACAATCTAATAGTGAAAAACCAAAGCCATAAGGTTTGCACGTACTGAAAGGGTTGAAATAAGGGCGCGATCTTGTGAAAGAATATTCGGTGGCTGATCGTTTTCTCGCTTATGGCAATCGACAGAATAAAATTTGATATCGTTAGGAACCAGAAAAAAAATTCCCATAAGCCGGTCAGCTGTTGAGGTATACCATGTTACGGCCGCTGCAAAAGGGAAGAACATTTTCTATATGCCTAGCAGACGTTCGGTCGCTAAATTTTAATTTTTTGAGCTCAGCACTGACATATTTTTCAGTGGTTGAAATCCCCGAAGAGAGAAAATCGGTCAGCAAAATATGTCATTAGCTGACGGTCTATTATAGGCCTTTCTTCTTGCTCTTCTGCATCTAGTAGATCATTCAGTACAAGAATTCTTCCTATAACCCCAGCTTCCATGGTTTCCCACGTTTTCGTATTGGACCATATTTTCCACAATATGCAAATGTACCCAATTGGCAATTACTGATAAATGATTTGCAAAACAAACAAAAAAATACCATGGATGATGACCGTAGAATTGACAAAAAGCGCATGTTTGACGTTTGGTTCTCCCGAGAACAGACGTTCTCTCTAAAAAAAGTAGTAGAATAAAATTCTCTCAACTTTCATAGGAAGTGAATGGTCCCTAATTTCGAGAATACATCGTAATAGATTTTAATAGAAACCACGGGTACTTTTCCTATGAGAACAGGGATCACACGATTCGAGAATCGCCGTCCCTGGTGTGTTGCGCCCAATGTTGCGCCTGTCCTACAGAACCGGCGTTGCCAGTAGTCGTTTTTGTTGAAGAACATTCTACATCTTTAAGCCGGCTACGGATGGTGAGCGATAATATAAAGTGGGTCCCAGACGCTACGTGTATTCGGCGAAAATTCGGTATTCGGGCTTATTCGCGTAGCGTGTGGGAAGGTAACTTTGGCGAACATTCGTCATTCGTCATTTTCCCGCCAATAGGGAACAATCATATTTTTCAGAGTATTTTTTTTCTTATAGCTTATTTTTTTAAATATAAAATGTATATGTTTTTTTTTTTGTTTTATGTCCTCATTAAAATTAAAAAATTATTTTAAATTTCAAATTATCTTCGTTGGCGCGAAAACGATTAGCTTCAAGATGGTGGAACTCGTGACGTCAACTGTCTGTAAACACAACGTTAAGGTCTATTCTCACAAGAGCCTCTGACACTTAGCAAACTGTCAGAAATACGTTTAGCTTGAACCTTCGACTGCATTGAAAGCGGTTATTATGTGGTGTTTCCGTATTTAGTGCTATAATGTGACATTTTGTGTTTCAAATAGTTCATCATAGTTGATTTACGATCAGTGTAAACTACCCTTAACCTTAGTTTACGAACATTTTACGTCGCTGGAAGCGGCCATGTTAAACGTAACTTTTCCGCGCGAAACTTTTCAATTTGAAACCAATAATTGCCGTATGACTATCATATCCATAAATTTAATAAAACAAAACTGCTCATATTCAATATTTTACAGAAAAATGTGCACCATGAAAACAAAA